CTATATGTATGGCTCTCACTGAAATTTATGAGATTTCAATCTAGTTATTTCGTTAATGCTCATTCCAGTCTTGCATATAAAAGCTGGTTAAATACTTAAAATATAGGTTCTCAAATCTTTCCCCACGTTTAATGTTTTTTCTTTGTGGGAATTTAAGGAAAGCGACATTTTTACACAATAATAAAAAATAAATAACCTAAATAATTTTTTGATAACAACTAATTCATTGCTTCGTTTTTACATTTAGGAGAAGGGAGTATTGGACTAATTTTTGGTTTGGCCAGAGAACTTCATGATCATGTGGATATTAAATGTACGTTCCATTACATTCTTGATAAGGTGCCTCATTCATTTGATATGTTCCCCATATTTGATTAAAATTGTTATAATTTGATTAAACTGACTAATATGATTCAAGTTGAAAAATACATTATTTTAATGTACGCAAAGTAACGATTTGCCATCCTGTTTATTGAGGTGTACCTTATGGAGCTAATTTAAAGTAATCAATTAATCATACATCAGTTGAAACATAACACACATCTTATTATTATTTTTTTTGGGTCATTTTTTTACGTCAGTTGCAACACACATCTAAATACCTATTGTATATAACGTAAAATTTATACAAATTTATAAGCAATTAACAACGTGGCTTATTTTAGGCTTGTAAGTCACCACTCACAATTTAATTTTAACAAAAAAAAAATAGTTTGTTAGTTGTTCAATAGTGAAGGCTAAAGGTTCGCTATGGTTAAAAGAATGGTTAGATCCTCAATCTAGTCATTATATATAAATAATATAAAACAGAACGCCAAAAAATTTTATATATATTTATTGAAAGTTGGAGAATGGTTGAAACTTCCACGAAAGCCACCAATCATGATATAAATATTATTACAAATATAAATTTTATTCCTCCGTGACATTGACATGATGTCCAAACTATTTTATTTATTTATATATAGTATATTGGGCAAAATAAAGCAAATTTTATGCAAATAGAAAAAGTAAAAAGAAAAAATATTAAAAAAAAACATTGCTAAAAACTGAACGCATATTTAAAAAAGTGTAAGATTATTAAAATGTGTTTAGTTTCTCACAATGTGGATGCTTACATTTATAAACCTGATAGTATTTTGAATAAAATTGTTTTTAATTAAAAAATATCTATGTGTAGTAAAAAAAAAAAGTGGACAAGTAACATAATATGTTGAGGGGGGTTTGATTTTTTTTTTTTGGCCTTAGGTCGGAATATAAAATAATTTTGTGTTGCTGTAGCAATCTCATTAGGATTAGCAAACGAAGACCACTTTTTTCCTCTTTCCAGCTGTCTCTATAATTGTCGATTATATTGGCATATTACCATATTAGAGTGTTTGTAAGATCTTAAAAAATAAACAAATGATAACAATAAGAAAACAAGTGTAATATAAGGTATATACTTCCTATTCTAATTATCTCTCCCAACAAAGAAAGAGGTACTTTAATTTCAAGAACTGTACTATATGAGATGATACTTTTAATCCTGAAATATAAACCGTCGAAATATTAAATATAATTAAAATAAAAATATATTAATAAACAAAATTATTTACAAAATCTCTCTCTTTCTCTCCCCGTGTGGCCTTTTTCTATTAAAACATAAATCTCTTATGTATGATAAAGGGGGTGTTTGGGAATACTTAAGAAGCACTTTTTCACAAAACGAAGTAAACTCTTTTCCATATTTACTTTGTAAATCGTAAAAGCACTTTTAAAACTATAATTTGATTTACATCCAAACACTCCCAAAATTATTTCGAATTTTCAATAGTTAAGTTTTCTTTCATTTGAGTGGGTTTTAATAGAGAATGGGGTTGCAGTACATTTAATTATTATTAGTATTTTTAAAAACTTGTTCTAGAAAAATAGAGTGAGAGAAATAAAAATGTAGAACGATAATTAAGAGCTTTATAAGAAGTGTTAAATTAGGATTTCATCACAATTTAAGTTCTCAAATTAAACACTCATTTTTTTAATATTGGATACTAAAAATCTTTAATGTTTTTTTTAAAAGTATCATGACCTTTCTCTGAACTTTTTCATTGTCATTCTTTCAGATTAAAGGGGTTTTTGGGTAAGATCAAAACCATGGTTTCAAAAGTGTTTTTACGATATACGAGGTAAATATGTAGAAGAGTTTATTTCGATTTGCAGAAAAATGTTTCTGAAAAGTGATTATTGGGTATCTAAACACCCCTTAAAATTCAATTGACGGCTACTCTTACCATGTCATATCGAATCTTCTGTTTTAAGGGTCAAGTTCTGTATAATCCAACGAACTATTTGCCAATTCATCTGTAAGCAAATTAAAATAATGTTAATAATTTTTTGAAAAGAAAAACAAATTTCTGGTACATGCATAACTGAACGGCACGTTTCACTGAAAGAGATATTACAATGACAAAGTATATTTAATGCTGGCGCGTTTACGGTAGACTTAAATTGGTATGTGAAGTTTCATTTCGGATGTTGTTTGAGGGAAAAACAGTCATCATGTCAAACAAAATTGGGTTTAATAAATAATACTACCTTCTATCCTAAACATAGGAGTTAGATAAAGAGTTTATTTTTTTATCTTAAATATATAATTTCAATCTATTCTGTCTTCTAGATTTATATATAATGTTTTGTTAAAAGTATTATTGTTGATTGCATATATATAAAAGGAGCTTCCAATCAAGAAGTATTTCCAATACACTTGATTAAATATAATAGTTTAGAAAAATCAAGACATATTTGTTATGAATAACTAATTTAACTAGTTTTTAAATATTTATAAATTAGTTATCTACCTTTTATATTAAGAAAAGGAGGTGTTATATAATAAAATAGAAGGAATTATAAATTTGAGTCTTACAATTTTATGTTAAATTATGATGTCATTATTGTTTATGGCTTATTTATGCGCTCCCTATATTGGGTTTTGTTCTGGTTTCCCAACAAAAAACCAAAATTTCCTTACACATACAAAAATTGAGCGAGGCCTGAGGATTACCAAATCAACAAGCAAAGAATTTGCAATTCTGTAGTTCTGCAATTTTGCTCTCTTTCGTCCTAAAACTGATAATATGGATTGAACCTGCGCCCGTAAAAAATAGTAAGTTAGGGTTGGTCAAAAACCAATTCGCCAGTAAACGAGTCATTTTAACCTGCATTGCCAGGCCCATAACCTGTCACGGGTTAGCCTGCCAACCTGCGGGCTAACCCGCATTTATTTATATTTATATTTTTAAAAATTTTAATTATTATAATTATATAATTATATATTATATCCTATCTAAAAAATTAAAAAAATATCTATATAATTTATTTGGTGCTTTCAATCAAATATTTTAAGAAAAATAAAAAATTTATTATTATTTTTAGATATTGTATAAGAAAAAAATTAAAAAATAAAATTAAAAAAAAAAAAGTGTTGGCGGGTTGGCGAAGTAACCCACCGACTTGCTGTGGCAGATTAGGGTTGGTTTTTCTTTCAAACAAGCCTTTTTAGCCCGACCCACCACGGGCTCAACCCGTCACGAGTTAACCCATAACTCACAGGTTAACCTGTGTTACCAACCCTATTTCATCCCATCCTTGTTAATTACTTTTTATATTTTTGTCTCCTAATTGATATTGTGTTTGGTGCGCATGAAAGAAGCTTTTATGGTATTTAAAGGTACCAACATTATTTACTAATGTCTTGCTAAGCAACTTCAGTTTAGCAGCTGAAAGAAGTTTTTTACAAGAGAGAAAGTGGCCCTCACCCCAACCGCATCAAAAAAATCATAACTTATTTCTGTTTTTAATATAAGATTTAATTAATTAATTTGAATAAATAAATAAAATCAAATGAATTAATTAATTATAATAAATGAGATATGATCTCCTCAAAATATCCTTATATGACATTAGATTATATACTAGTATTAGTTTATAAGTTATGCCAATTAGTTGGAAAGAAAAATGATAAATATAAAAGACAAAATAGAATAAAAAAAAAGAGTCAAAATGGATTTAGATTTTATATTTAAAAATAAATTTAATTTCTAACTAGTTTTTATACTAGGAAGTGGAGGGAGTTATTCTTTTCTTAATATATCTGATTTTATATTACAAACTTACAAAATTATGATGTCAACCGTTTATAACGTAAAACTAAGCACCCATGAATCATGATTATATATCCATGGTTTTTTGAGTTGAAGCTGTTTTTTTTTCCCCTTGTAAGAATGTAATAATAAAATATTGAGGAATGAGTAATTGTATCATATATTATTGTTATAACGAAATAGATGGGTAATATGATTATTAATTAATTGTTTTTATGGCAATAAAAAATTGAACAAGAATATAAAAATTAAATCCTTATCACTAAGTTGAAAATTTTTAGTCCAGGTGCGATTTTTTCATTCAATATTTATATTTAACCCAAATGTTAGATTCATCTATGACTGGACGATTTCTATCTTACATCAATTTATTGCCACGTAATGCCCTGTGTGTTTGATTTTCAATGAAAAAATTGTTGAGAGTGAGATTGTTGGCCAATAAGTGATAACAATTATAAATAAACTTGGGAGACTAATTAACGATTATATCAATAACATACTTGTTCTCTTAATTACATTGCTAATGATATAATATTAATATTAATATTAATTTTTAGGAGACTAACGAGCGAAGGCCACGTATACTTCGAAAGGGGAAAAAACGAAACTTAAGTACCATTAAAAAAAAGTTAAATTATTTCATCAAGCTAAGGACTGCATAACCACCACGGGTTTTAATTAGATTAATTAACAACTAAATATTATTAATATATAATGAAATTATAAAGTTAATAATAATAATATTGTTAATTTCTACAATTCTATCATGGAACTCATGGCCAGGATTTGCTTTCACGTCTGCCTACAATATATTCTCCTTCATCTTCTTCTAATTAAAACCTTCTTCCTACCTCACCAACAATGGCTGACGAGCAAAGCCCCTTGACACTCTCACCTCCCTCTCCCCCTCCTCCTCCGTCGTCTTCTTCTTCCCCAAACTCCGGCATGACCATGCTGTACTACGGCCTGGCGGTGGTCGGAACCGCCGCCATAGTGTTAGCCATGTACAACCTCATCATCATCAGACGGTGCAGCCGCAGCCGGCGGCAGCTGCAAGGGACAGGGGACGACCGGGAGGTGGAGGTGGTGATCGGGCCCGGAAGTAGCAGCCGGAGCTTTGAATGCTCGAACAGGAACTTGCTTTCGAGCTTCAGGTATAAGAAAGAAGCAAAAGAGAAGGAAGGAGGAGGAGGAAGAGGTGAAGAATATGAATGCCCAGTTTGCTTATCGGTGTTCGAAGAAGGCGAAGAAGTGAGGAAGCTACCTCAGTGTAATCATTCGTTTCATGCGATGTGTATAGACATGTGGCTTTATTCTCACTTGGATTGCCCAATCTGTCGAACACCTGTTGGGATAACAGAGTGAGATTGATCGGATTGAAGCAGGCAAGGAGGAGAAGAAGAAGAAGAAGAGTAGGTATGTGAAATTCACTTGTGATTGTGTTTTGTGAAATGGTGATGGATTTGTTAGAAAAAGAAGTGGGAGAATCCAGAGGATGACAAGAAGGAGATTCCATTGGGGGAGATTGATTGAGAGCTGGGCTGGGTTAAGTTTAACATTTGGATTTTTTTTTTCCTTTTCATTTTTTAAAATATTTCAGGGATACCCAATTATTTGGTTGAATACAGGCCGTTCACTTTTGGTTCATTCTATGTGATATGTCTGCAACATCCTTCCACCCTTTTTTTTTTTTTCAGCTTTTTGATACTTTTTCGCGGCAAAGAAATCAGAAAAGTCAATAGTGGAAACTTCAATCATTGTTGATGGTCTGGCTGGCAGAGATGAGGGGGGAAATGAATAGGAGCTGAGAAAAGGGGAAAAAGGGGAAAATTTTTTGCTTACTATTTCAAGGGTATGTTTTCGTAGTATAGTGATAGGCTTAATTAATTTAGACGAAGGAAAGTGTTGCTTCAAAAATGAAAAGAAAAGAAAAGAAAAGAAGTGAAAGAAAGTATGCATTTGTTTGGTTCTGTGCAGACAGGAGAAGAGACATGCTGTGCCACCTTTAGCTCAAATTATTTGTTTGGGATGAAGAGTATACACCATAGTTGATGTTTCGAGGATAATAAATTGAATAAAAAATTGCCTGTTATTGGAAGGTTTAGATTTATTTGGAAGTTTTCAAGACCTGAATATAAGATGAAAGGAGGATAAGTAAAAGAATTATCTTCTCATGCCAGAGATTAATTTAAGGAATAACAAAAGAGGGAAAAATTTTGGCCAAATTTCTATAACAATCCTTGCAGCCATTTTACGTTAATTCGAATTAGCTTTTGAATTAATTACAATCTTTTAAAATTAACACAGGCGCCCTCCTTTACTTGCATGCAATTTGGAGGATAGGAACAGATGAATTTTTGCAAGAAAATGAAATTTAGTCCCTAAAATAGTTACGGCTTAGTTCCTACATGGAAGTCATTTATAGGAGAAATATTTGTTCCTAAATATAAGTTGGTTGTACGATAATTAATGATCCTTTTTTAATTTTACCCCCATGAGATATAATTAAAAAAAGGTAAAAGAAAAAGGACAATATTTTTTAATAGGAACAAATGTAAAAATTTTTTTTATCAATTTAATACTCCAGTCATAAATATAAAACCCTTATACTAGTGAGTATAAGGATATTATATTTAGGAACAGAGGAGTATATTTTTTAATATTTTTTGATATGACACAAATATATAGAAACATAGCAGCACACTTATATTCATAACATGTATTAGCGAAACACAAGGTCATACCCAACAGCCGTTCTTCAAATTTGTGCGCGCCTCTTTTTCTCACAGTAATAATTACCAAGTTACATATATCTCCTGATAAACAATAAAATATAAAACCACAAGACTCAACTTTTAATTATTCACCGCTACATCTGATAATTACGTTTATAGATCCGAACATGGATGGAGCCGCCAGCACAATATCACATTAGTAATATCATTCAAGCATTTCAAGCCCATTACAGCTTGAAATGTAATGCGCCCCAAGATCGAGGCACAAGAAACCGATAAGAAATATAAATTTGCTAAACACAAAATCTAAATCTCAATTGTTCCAAGAATATATCACTTGGATAAGCAAAATGACGAGGAAATTTCCTTAAGAAAAATATCCATTTCGTTCATAATCCCGAGTTCATCAGAGTCTTGCACAACTTATCAATTATATACCATGGTACAAATATGCTACACCTCTCCAAGTAAAGGTGGAGTGTACAAGATACAGGATGAAGATTACATTCTTCTTAAATTGTCTAACCTTGCCTGTAAATCACTATCTATCCCGCCATCATCATTTCCAGTTGTTTCGACTTGAGGCACCTTTGCCTTTGCCGCTGGGGCAGCAATGGCTTCTGATGGTGCATTTACAAGCTGTGCATGACATCAAAGTTGTTAGGCATTGTGATGAAATTATACAGTTCACTTTTAAGCTAGAGAAAGAAGTTGAATAGTCAGCAAGTGTTGTATATACCTCTTGGTTTACATCGATTCCAATCTCATCTAGAACCTGGTTCACAAGTTCTTCTGTTTCTTCCTCTTCCTCATCTCCTTCCAAAGCATCATCTATTGCATCTCCCATCACCTCAGTCGTCAGTTCCATCCTCTCATTCTGTCTCTCAAATTCTTGCATGATTTTCTGCAGAGATGGCAAGTTCATCTGCCTATTCATCTGTCCCATTGCTTTTGTCACACCTTTCATGGCGTCCCCCATTGCTTGTGTTGATTTCAAAGTCTGAAAATTTGTATCACAGTATACGTCAACTTTTACCACCCAAATATAAGCTAAGGCACAGATTTAGATCATCAGTGCAGGGCTTATCAACAGATATACATGGAAGTAGCCAGTCCACTGGCTAATCCTTTCCTAAGAATAACGCCATGGGTCTTAAAACACAATTTCATCCTTTGAAAAGTTTCTATGGAAGGACAAACCAATAGTTACAATTATATCAACAATAGCATACCTGAATTCTGAGCGATACACCCTGGAGCTGTGATTTAAGCTTATAAAACTTTTCAATCTGATGCCTTGTTCTAACAAGATCCTTTGCCATCACTCTAACAGCTCCCTGAAAAGTCAAAAAAAACATTACACGAATCAAGATTGACAATGGCAAGCATAGGCCACCGCCTTCCAAGACAACTCATTTGTGAACCATAATAAATTGACAAAATTCAGTGTTTCAGACAGTCAGATTTGGGCAGTTGATTCACACACTGAAACCAAATTAGAATGTGTCACGCAACAGACTACTAATTCAAACGAGAACAGAAAATACCCTTCATAACACGCAAACGAGCTTGAATCACTCCCAAGCACTACATTCACGTAAATTTTCAGGCTTTAAAATGACATCAATATTAAACATTCAAAAGTAGGCAGGAGTAGACTGCAAATCAAAACTGACTGGATAAGTTTCTTGCTGTGTGAGTTGTTCCAGTGACAGAAAATCAAACAACAAAATCCCATTATTATAAACGATAGTCATCAAATGCAATCAGTAGTTTTAGTCCACCAATACCTTAACGACAATCAAGTATTTTTCTTCATCAAGACACAAGAAATGAAGATTGAATATAATATTGAACTTTAAAGATCAAATACAGAATATACGCCCCTAATTTAATGGAAGCTCTAAAGCAACGTAAACTTAACCACTGCGAACCATTGCTCCAGACATATTTCAAAAAGGAAAAGAAAAAAATAAGCCTTTCATTCTTTTTGGCACGCTGGGACTCGGAAATTCATTGACTCTGGCTATTTGCCTGACCGTGTGGAAATATTAGAACATGCAGTAATACTAGGAATGTCTGATTTATGTCATGAGTGACTGGCAATTAGAAAGAATGTGAAATTATTACAAACAAAATGGTCAAAACTGAGAAAGCAACAACAGCTTAGCCAATGCTGCGAACTTCAAAAGTGAATACGGAAATAACTAGCTGTGCCACAGCCAGTTAAGCTATCATATTCAATATGCTACAACAGAAAACCAAGGTAGGGAAAAAAAAAAAAACCAAAAATACAAAAGGAAACACATCATACCATCTGGCCTTGTTTGGCGCTCTTCTTTATCTCTAAAATCAGTTTCTTTTCTTGTGATTGCAAGCCTTGTCTCTCCCGCTCTATTTCTCTAATCGATTTGTCCAACATTCTCTTATTTTCCCGCAGAAGCTCTGAAAATCACATTTTACATTCACATAGCGATGCCGTTTTTAAGTTCACAGAAAATCCCATTACAGGCATATCAGCCAATTAATATGCATGTTATGGATGGTATGCATGCACGAAACTAGCAAACAATTTCACTCGAGTATCAATTTGCATCCAGTGAACAAATGTCATGTGCTACTAAGCATTCCCTTATAATTATGATTCTCATAGCTAGAAATGTTATAAAATGAATTTAATAGTAATACTACAACATCAACACCATACAACACTGCTTTCAAACATAGATGGCACAATAAATTATGACTGAAGCCGGCAAAGAAAAAATTACAGTTATTGTAACTTATTCTCAGAACATACTAAAGGAGACTCAAAGGATACGGTGTGTATAATTAAGGTACTGTCCGAAGCACCGATCAAAACACGAAACAAACGATTAGAATTGAGCATCCCAATTCCCAATTTAAATGCTCAATAATACAGTCCAATACAAACCGCAGCCAATTAGATTTTCCCGGCAAGATATATCATCGACAGATACTTCAACATGATTCAGTACTCACAACTAGAAACCGAAACCCAGTAACTCAATCAAAGTTTCACAATCTGACCCGATAGGATGTTATTAAGGATGGATTTAGAGGTCGAAGATCTCGTTGATCGACAGTAACCACAACTAGAAACCGAAACCCAGTAACTCAATCAAAGTTTCACAATCTGACCCGATAGGATGTTATTAAGGATGGATTTAGAGGTCGAAGATCTCGTTGATCGATATTGCTTACGCGGTAAGCGTAAAGGAAGGAAAGAATCATCAACGAACGAACCACCCCATCTTCTTCCTCCGCAGGACCTGCTCGGGGGACCCCACTTACCGGGACCCGGACCTTCGTCGTTTTAATAAACGGCACCTCCATATTGTGTCGTAGTGATTTGGGTTGTCGGGTCCATAACAAGTATCTGGGCCTTAGAAATAACAGGCTAAACTGGAATGCACAGAAAAACAAAGGCCATAGCCCATAGCCCATAATCGAATTTTGGTCTACATTCTATAAATTCTAATTTGTGAATACTGTGCCTGCCCTTTAGAGACTGCCAGAAGGTAAATAGAGTAGTAGAGAGAAAAGCCTGTCGGGTCGGATTCTTCTACCCGCATAATTTGTGTTTGCGAGAAAGTAGTCCCTTCTGCTGGATTAAATCCTATTAATTCATTCATGAAAACTTTCCAGTATAAAATAATGTACGGGAAAAGTTTAACTAGCATCAAAGTAATAATTTTTTATCATTATGTTGAACTTTCATTTGTTTATTTGTAAAAAAGTAGTACTGGATTCGAATTTTTTGAAACTAGAAACATGTGAATCCATTTAAAATAAGAGAGAAATAGTAAAAAAACAGTGAATATGATACAAAATCTTATTCCATGAATATGTATATATATATTAATCTGTGTCACATCGAGATTAATTACTCTAAAAAAACTGTACAAAATTAAAATCCAATAGCTGATAAAAATGAAGTTGGAGGCCAAGTGAGACACAGCAAAATGCCATGGGAGATCATACATGTAGATATAGCTAACTAGCTTACAGATAATATCTATCTATTCTATATATATACATAACCCCGAAATGATTAATTTGGAGTCGATATATATATATATATATTTGGTTCCAAAAACAATAATTAAATTAAAGGTAGAGTAATTAATAATAATAATGGGATATTGGCAGCACAGAACTGGGCATGTGTACGTATAGTAAGGGTCACAGTTGGTGCTTGGTTGGTGAGCAACATCCCCAGGTGTTGCACACTGGCATTGCCATTCATGTTATATTGGTTTATTGCCTCCTTTCAATTCATCTTCAAAACTTTATCACTCTCTAATTATCATTTCTTAGCCTCACATTAAATCTTGTCTTATTCTTCTCTCTCCCCTGCGTCTAATATCTGTCTCTTTCTGCTTTTAATTTCCAAGTTCCACACTTAGGAGGTGTTTGGATAGAAACCAAATTATGGTTTCAGAAGTGTTTTTACGGATTACAAAGTAAATATGTGGAGGAGGTTACCTTGTTTTGCGGAAAAATGTTTCTGAAACCGCGGTTTTGAGAATGCCAAACATTCATTTTGCAATTGATAGGCATGGTTTCTAATGAAATGAGTTTTGGCTGCTTGAGCATCAGATCTCAATTTTTTTATTTTTTTGGCTGAAAGATAAAATCTCGAATTTGAGTTCCCGTGAATGTTAAAAACACATTTGAAAAAGTTACCTTTAATTGGGTTCAATAATACTTGGATATTTCTATATTAAAAATAATAATAATGAGTTTTTCTATCATAATTTAACGTGAGGTATCATCGAAAGTAATTTTTTACCTGCCAAAGTTTATTATTGAATTTTGTACGAGTGAAATTGTGAAGTATTAACCAACTTACAATTTAACTGTCCTAAAGTTGATTGGGTGACATGGAGATTTCAATCACCTAAAAAGATGAGCCATTATATTATGAGATATGATTTGAGATTGTAGCCTTTTCTTTTAATAAAGTAAACAAATGTAATTAGAACATCTAATAATGCAAAAGTTAATTTTTCGTTAACCGAACTTATCCGTACAGCATCTCCATTGATCTAATTATTTTGTAGTCATTATATCTAATCCCTCACCTTGACAATTAGCCCCCATTTGCATATCTCAACAATAAGATATTATGCATTCAGAAAAAGGCGGAGTGATTTTTTTTAATTATATATAATTAAACACATAGATGCATATAAACTTGTTAATATCATATTTGAAGCCGGAATCTCATCTAAGCATGATGAATAACACTGCTATTGAAACAACTTGTTATTGATAGATTTTTTGTTTAATTTTATACGCAGGTAAAGAGATAACATGAGATTTTAATACAATTTTTAGTTCAGATTTTTATCATTGAGAGCAAGGAAAGTAACTGGGTATCATATGATCTCTATAAAGTTGATAATACCCTTGCTAAGTCATGTTATGATTTAAGGGAAATGGATAGTTTAGCTTTTTAATAATTATTTTGAATCATTCTTCATTTTGATCTTCTTATGAACCATGTGATAAAGAGAACGAAATGGTTAGGTTTTAATATTTTTTTTTTGAAAAATTTGTTTTCAATAATATTCGATTCAAATAATTGTAAAATATCAATTGAAAATAAGCTCTGTTGTAGCAAAATTGTCAAGAAATTTAATTTTCAAATGTAACTTCATGTTTGTCACTAGTATTCTTGTTTATAACTGCAGCTCAATTTTTAGAAAAACTTTCTGAAGACCTCACTATTAATTCAATTTTTTGGCACTTGCACGTGATCCTCATATCACATTCAATGCTCTGTCCCATTTTAAATATAAAAAACAGATGGGAATTTTACTTTAATCCTAAATAAGAAAATACAAGACTTTAATATACTTTGTTTCATAAATTAACATTTTTTCTCCAAATTATCCCTATTAAGTACATATAGCAAATGAGTTTCATCAAAGAATAATTCTAACTTAAATGATGATTGAAGAGGATATGTTTGAAAAACCTACATAATTTTTTTTTTTTACAAAAATAACTGTTTTAATTATTTTTTTAATATTTACAAATTGATTATCTGATTCTTACATTCAAATAATTATGAGATTAAATCAGAGCAGAATTAAGAGCATCTCTAAAAGTATTTTCTACATTCATACGGAGTTAACCTAAACGCGTTGTGCTTATGCAGCCGTATAACTTTTCATATCTTCATCTTATTAAAATTCTTCCCTTCCAACCGAACATCTGGGTAAACTATTGCAATGGCCGTAATTTAATTATTATTACCTCTGATGCTTAATATAATAGTTTGTTGATTAATTTAAGTAGATTAAGAAAGTTTATTAAGTTAATTATTTGTAATAAGTAAGTATTGTTCTTCTTAAAATACCCTTACTAATTATGTGTATTAGTTAGAACTACCATTTAATGGAACATTTAACATGTGCAACTATTATAGGACTATTTTGAAAAAATAGATAAATATGAGAGATAAAGTGGATTGGAGTCTTATAATTAGAACCAGATTGAAAGTCAAACAAATTCTTATTATCCTCTAATACTTGACATTACATTGGATTTGGATATCAGATCCCTAGCAATAATTTCAAATTGTAAGGCTTAAAATCTTTAACATGCTTCCTACATAATGAAATTGCAATTAGTTGGTAAGTCATGTTTTGATTTCTTCAATCTTAATCTTTGAACCTTAGCAACGTTCACGGGGAGATGGCAAATAGGTCAACTTATTAGCACTAGTTTGTCTCACTGTCAATTTTGAAAAAAACTTTTTAATTTAAACAAAAAACAAAAAACAAAAAACAAAAAACAAAACAAAAAGTAGCTTTGGATTTGAGGCATTATGTCATTTTCCCTCAAGTTGACCTCTTCATCGCCTTATGAAAAATGGCCCTACTTTGTCTGCTACATATGCTCCTATAATGTATTACCCTTTTGTATGTTAGTACATTTTATATATGATTTTATCTTTGAATCGATGTTATGAGATTTTTGTGAAGTGTTGAAATCCAAATTAAAAGTTTTTATTTTAACTGTTTTAACCAAACCCCACTATTTTACAAGGATCATTTCAGTCAGTTTCACTGCTGCAAATTTATTTATTTGAACAATTATGTTGTACGCTGTGTTGGAATAAGATTGAATCTTGTCATCAATAATGAGCTTCAATTATGGCTTTAGTTACAACCAAAAAAATAAGATCAAAATTCTCACTGTACTTGGGGACTTTTTTAGAGGGGGCAAAAAGTAGTATGCTGTAATCATTAATTAAATCTTCAAGGTTGGAAACAATTTTTAATTTTAATTTTAATTTTTGGGGTAAAGTGGGAGACATTTTACTATCCTCCTCCTGATGCCATCCATGTGCAAAAGCTTCCTCCTTTTTCTTACTTAAACTTTTGTTTTTCTTGGTTGGGTACAATCTCTGCTTTTCCCCCCTTTATTTTTCTTCTCTCTGTTAATCTTCTTTGACAAACTCTGCAAATTGATTCTAACCTCAATGCTATCTTCACTTATATTATTATTTGTATCCCTTGATCTCTCACCTCCACCCAACTATAAATTAAATCTTATTATAAATTTATTATGCAGATTTTTAAAAAAATAATGATTCAAAGAGTAAAAAGGCTAAATTCAGCTGACACTTATTCCATAGACTTACATTGCAAAGAATCTTCTCAAAATGTATGCACAAGGCAAGAGTTCTCCTCCAAATTATTGAGCTTTTTTTTTTTAAATCTCAAGTGCCATTTGAAAATGCCCATTATTATTCACCTCATATGCAATCAAAAAATTGTTCTTTTTTCCCCCGCATCGACTTGATGCTTTTGAAATTCTTATTCTAATGTTGAGAAGAATCAAATTCAGGTCATTCAAAAAAAAAAAAAAACCCTCGCATGCCTAGAACGTATGAGTATCATCTATATGTAATGAAACAAAGTAGTCCTGAATTAAAAGTCCACAATGCATTACATTATAATTACAGCGAATTACAAACGCAAACCATTAGCAATGGCCTTGTTTGTTTCCAGATTAGTAGTTTCATAAACAGGAAGCTCTTCTTGGTACCTCCTTCCACCTCCAATCAGATGATCTAACTCAAAAAGATCCGAACTTGAACAGCTCAAAGCATCATCATCATCTTCTTCTTCCTCCTCGCCATTATGATTGTACAACAATCTGAAATCAAACTCACCCTTTCTTGATCCATTTTCTTTGGCCATAACAGAGTTTTTCTTCTTCTGCTTCTTCTTCTCGTCCTCCTTCGTTGAAGAGTTTCTTGTGATTTTTCCTGCACTGCCAGGAAATGGCATTATATCTGGATCATTCTGGCAGACAAATTTATGCTGAGAATCCTCGCCCAGAATTATGTTTACGGGGTAAAATTTAACGCTCCTCTTTACGCCATTGTTCTTTTTAGCCCAAGAGGGTGTTTTGCTCATGCAAGACCTTCTTGAATATGAAGAAGCAGAGGAAGAAACACATGGAGACTGACATTTCTGCTCGAAATTAACATCTTCCACCGCCCCAACGTAGCACATTTTCGCCTTCTTCACGCTTCCATAGTTGAAGATAGAGCTCAAAAAACTAGCTATTCGACTTCCTGGTGACATCGGTTGCTTCACTTTCTGTTTCTTTTGCTTCTCTGAGTTCAGCCTCTTGTCTGATTTAGGCCTCGATCTCTGTTTACAGCTCGTCTCTGTCTCCGACGACGAAAAGAATCCTCCTGAACTGCACTCTGAAGAGCTGTGGGAACTCTGCTTCTCCATCCAATCTTCAACCATAAATGTTGATCGGCGAAGATGTTTCACATCCCTGACTTTGCCATATTCATTTCCCAGAGAAACTCCACCGCTGCGGCTCATGTTGCTCTGTTTCGTGTGGTGAACTTCCTTGCAGAGACCCAATTGAGAATCTTCATCAAGATCTGATTTTGATTGGTCGGTGGAACGGTAAATGGCGTCAAGGAGAGATGAAGAGAAGGAGGGGGTCCTTCTGCTTCGTGGGTACGAGCCATCTCGCATCGATCTCTCCTTCTGTGCATCTTTGAGGCATGCAGATTCCGCAGGAAAAGACCAAATCTACAGAGAAAAAATGAAAGAAATATGCGCAGGACAATTTAGTTTGAGGAAGGAAAAGAGCGATGGTCAGTGAGGAGGCAGGCAGGGAATGTCAAACGCTGAGAGGAGCACCACTATACATGTGTGGATATATATATATAGAAAGCAAGTAGAGATAGAACAAACGTGTGCAAAAGAAAAAGAAAAACAGAGGACATTGCGTGCGAGGTTGGAAAAAAGAGAGTATGGGGTTTTCGTTCAACGTGTGAGGAACGAGATAGCGTTATTAAGTGTTCTGAGTAGAAAAGCAAGCATGTTTGGGTGTTGCAGTAGTGCACTGTACAGCTTTAGGTGAACATAAATGAGAAATGTCATACCGCACACTTTGTGACTGAGCACTGAGAGAGAGAGAGAGAGAGAGAGAGAGAGGGGAATGTTAAAAAGAAAGAGTTGAAACTGATTAAAAGTGAACACCGCGCGTGCGGGCAATCTTTTTGAGGAGACCACACTCACACGACTTGAAGATTCATTATTCATTTGCTTGTGCATTGCTTCTTTCTTTCTTTCTTTTTAGTTTTTACCAGTTGAAATTGAGTTAAATTCAGTTGTATCATTTGATGACTTGGCTGTTTGCTTGTTTGGTTGGTTGTTTGTTTGTTTGTTTCTTTTCAAGTTTCCACATGCATTCACTTGAGTCCTTTGGTAGAGATAACACAGAGCATAGGATTCTGATCAAGGGCTAACCCAACTGCGTTTATTTCAGTCCTATTCATCTATCAGATCCAAGCTCACAAGCCTATCTTGTTGCAATCACTAATGCAAGCCGAATCTCTGTGCTCTGTTTTCTCTTTTTTAGCCCTTTTATGAACACTCACATACGTTCCCTGCGAGTCTTGATTTTCCAAAGGGCACAATCTCTTCAGTCAGAAAAGCCACAGGCTTTGGTCCCTTCCAAGTCTCACTTCTTCAACCAGAAATGAAGAAGTGGTTGAACAAAATAAGAGAGTTCATTGTGAGGAATTGAACAATCACTTTTAATCGTATTTCAAGAAAGTCAATTGACTCACTATACTCGTAATATAGATAGTTTGAGATAATGCGTTATTGAAACATTAATGCAGGCATGTTTGAAAATGAGCATGTTACTCATTGGAGTTAAACTTTAGCCTCACTCGAGGTGGAATCCCCTTTATTAAAAATGTGATTTTCACATTATGAGATTTTGCAAATTTATGCAAAATTAAAGAAGAATGGATGAACTGATAGGGGTTAGGTAATAGGTCTGATAATTCCTCACAATGCAGTGAATAAAGTTTAAATTTTTATTAAAAAAAAGTCATTTTTAACACTTAGTATAACCTTAAATATACTTTTAACAAGAAAATATATATGTTTAATCAAAAAGGAAAATGGGCGAAGACTGCAAGCACTCGCTGTCCAGGATTTTATGCTCAGCCCTTATTCCTGCTTGATGGCTTTCTGACATCTTTGGATATTTCTTAGGATATTTTGCCTTGTTTTAGTTTTTGTCCGTTTCCTTTGTGTATCACAAGAAGATGATGATGATGAATGGATAATTAGTTAATGCCTAATGGGTTCTGATGTGTTCCTCCGTCCTCGCTGATGGGTCTTGACCCACTTTTGAAACTTGGGTTGCCACAGACTCACAGTGCTTCTTCAGGGTCTGTTTGCATGACACTGGGCTTTAAAAATTTCAACAAAATGATAGGTATCCAAATCTTTTTTAACGAAAAATAAGTATCCAACTCAATCTCTGTTTTATTTTTGTCAACATTGGATTCGAGACTCACAAGTGTTAGTGTATGTCTCTAAATTAAAAAAAAAAACATTTATAAAAATATTTATAGATTGCCTACTAACAAGGTTCTTACATTATTAGTAAGATTCAAATTCACAACTTTATAAATTATGAGTCGACTCCTAATTGATTTGATTAATTCTTGTTGGCTTCAACTCAATTTCTTCTAGACTTTATTGAACGATGCTTAATTTGTGCATGGTAATGAAATAATTAATAAGTTGGTTTTATTTTTTTTATGTGTTTTAATTAAGCAGAAATGACTCTTTTGGACCAAAATTTTAATTTAATTTAAAATAACAAATAAATCATCTTAGTGTAATTTTATCTTTGTTTTCTTTTGTTTCTTTTTTTTTTTTGAATATTCCAACTTTTGTTCCTCGTGCCATTTTTTATTTCTTTTCTTTTGTAATTTCACTAATTTCTCAACTTGCAAGAGATTATTCTTGCCCAAAAAAACCTTACAAAGATTTTACTGTTCCATTCTCATTTTATTTAGCTTGCAAAGATTCTACAGACCTATTCCCATCTCATTTATGGGAGTTCATATTTTCATGGGAGTTTATGTTTGTGTTTTTCTGTTTCACCTTTTTACCCAAAAAAAAAAAGTGAGCTTTGTGCACGCATATTTAGTATACTAGTAAATATCAGTGTGACCTTCCAATTTTTTTTTTTTGCTAAAGTACAGGTATCCTCAATCATATTCAAGGCACTGTCAGGCATCTCTTTTAATAGGATTTAAACCTTAGTTTATCATATTGTGAGGGACTAACTTTTTCTGTTAGACTTAATCCTATGATGAAACACACAGGATACTAAACTAGGTTTTGCTGCCCGTTCGTAAAAACATGGGGGATCAAGATAAGACATGAACAATGGACCTCCACGAAATTATATGTGATAAAAATTTTTAAAAAAATTCTTGTGTGTTGGCAAGAATAAGAAAAGGACGCCTATGTGGGATAAAAAGGTGAGCACATAAGAGAGAAGATAAAATCTCAATGTGGGGAAAGAAGGATACAACGCAAAAGACGATACATAAATTAAAATATATTATCTCTAGTTTTAATTATAAAACCTCATTTGTAGACTGTAAACAGGGTCTTATAATTAGAACTAGGATAGTATTTGAAAAGGCTGTAGGCAGTGAAAAATGGAGAAAATTCTTAAAGATTGCCATGAATTATCACGAAGGGAAAAAATGAAGAGAGGATTATCATAATTTGAAAGAGAGCATATATTCCCGCACGGACCTGGTGAAGCAGCTTCTGGAAACATCTTAGTTTATGTTATTTGGTTACTTGGTGAAAACAAAGAAGCATGCCGCAACTAGAAAATGGATATATGAAAGGGCACAAAAGAAAATGACAGTAGATTCATTCTTTGAATCCCAATTTGAATAGCTATATAGAATTTACACCCACCACACTTCTAAAGTATGCTCTTTTGATCCGCCAATATCTGAAAGAAGTAACTAATATAAGTTAACTTCCCCACCCTCATCCCACAGAATAACCTGACCCGATCACACAATTAAAAGCGTGATCCCATCGGATTAATATTTAGATAGATAGAGAGAGAGAAAGAGAGCCCAAAACGGAGAGGTGCCAGTGGCACCTCTTTCTGATATGTGATTCCCTATAGTGAGACTTAGTAGTATCGCAAAACAGATATGAAACAATTTGATATGCAGAGCCACCTCCACAATTTGGATAGCATCAGCAGCCACCAATTCCGTTCAATCTTACAAATATTGTTCATGTATTCTGGCGCGGTTCTCTTCCCACCATAATCTAGCATGCATCTCCCCAAATTTTTCTCGGCTGCACATCACATGGAAAAACAACCAGAATTATCAATTTCGATTCAATTCCATGTCAAAATGTAATCAAGACAATGAGCACAAATGTACATCTCAAATATGCCTCTGTTTAAGCGCATGCACACTTACCTTAATGGTTACCAAGAAAAAAAATTACAAACCTTGAGACTGGAATTAATTGGACACCATTACTGACTATTGACAGTGATAGATAAATCAGAATTTATGCAGAAACAGACCAGAGCAGCAATTGTAGAGTTTGTTTAAAATTTTGGAAATAGTTATAGGTTTGTCCGGTCAAATCTACGAAGCATTCATATTTCAACAACAGGGCTTCGTTATGTCTAATGAATATCCGGCTCATCAAAATATGTGACAAGATAATTCAAGATACATTTGAAAATTATATCTTGAGGTTTCTTGCCATTTGTATAATATCATGTTCTTGTTCTGTATCTCGTAAGTGCTTCTTAGTATCAAACTCAACGAACTGCAAGTGCAGTTGCTGCTAGCATGGATGTCATTATAATGACCTATCAAGTAGCAATTATATGTCTACCCACAACAGCATAGCCACGAAGGGAATACGTCTGGCCATACAATTGAGCGTAAGCTTACCTGAATCTTACTCTTCTGAGCTCCCTTTTACCGCCCGGTAATGCTCTAATGGTAATATAAACCCCAGGTTCATCCTGCTCAACCCATTCAGTCTCCAGATCGCTGGCATTGCTGATTGAAAGATCCCCGGAGCGATCAGCTTCTCTGGATGAGCTACTTCTCATGGAGGCGTCCATTGATGATATTTCTGTCTTGGCTGCGCTAATGGTGGAAACTTTAGGAGTTGAGTTCATACCATTAGAGTCATAGTGATGCCGGGATTGCATTGATTGATGATCAAAGGAATCAGAGGATGAGTATCCCATTCCCAGTCCTGGAGGACGGTACAAATTACGAGGTAAACGTTCCCTAGTTAGTGGAGGTGTCACTGGGCTGTCTTCCGCTGATTCAATCTTTGAGCTCTGTTTTTGACGCAGGGAAATAGACCATATTAAACAAGCATCATGGGGGATAGACAAATCCGTTACCCCCTTTCCTTTAAAGATCAGGTAATGAATAAACAACTGATGACAGTGGCAAACTATTGACAATTTCAAGATGATGGCTAAAACTAGCCTCGCTAAAATACATTAGAGCAAATGTAAATATTATATGTGTTATGCCCAAAAAAAGGGAACAAATACTACATCTAATCTCCAGAAAAAGTCAGTTAACTCTAATTAAAAATTAATATAAATAATTTATGTTGTTGATTTCTAAGTGAAA